GGCCTCGCCTGGCGCTTTCCTCGGCCCCCACCACCTCCCAGTCCTCGTGCGCGGCTCCGCCTTCCGCTCCCCCACCGCTGCCGCGTCGCCCACAGCGGGTGACCGCCCGGCCCCAACCGGAAGTAGCTGCGCCAAAGCCGGAAGTAACCGAGCTCCCCAGCTCCGCCATGTGCGCATGCGCTCTTCCACCTGCTCCTGCCTGGCGTCCCCGGCAGCGAGCCCGTCCACAATGAGTGCCTTCGGGTTCACCTGAGACAAACACGCCAATCATTTGTTTTTAACAATTATTCTCTGAATTGCGTCTTACATGTATTTTTTTGCTGTTCATATAAATTCTGAGCTGGTGATATAGCTCAGAGGCACAAGCGTCTGCCTGGCAAGCACAAGGTCCTGAGTTCAATTCCCGGTACAAAAAAAAAAACAAATAACATATAAATTCTGAGTTTACGTTTCTCCCTAAAAGATTAGCCATTGGTCCTAACACAACTTATGAGAAATCTAGGAAACTTTTACTAGCTGGAGATGCCGCCTTTATTATAAGCTATATTCTTATATGTTTTCAGTTTTTACTTCTTTTCTGTTGTTATTTGTCTACATCTACACCAAAATACACTATTTTAATTGATTTATACTATCTGGTTATTGGTAGGTCAAATCTCATTATTACTTTTTTTTAAAAAAAATCAAGTTACTAATCATTACTGTGTTTTCTTCCACGTGTTTGAGAACCAAGTTCTCAACATTTTTACAATGCTAAATCTTCCTACTAAAAAAATAGGGGATAGAATTATATTTATATAGGTTTTAAGTAACTCAGAGAAATCTTACATATTTTCTATTTAATTCTAAGTATAAAACATGTTTCACTGCTGTTGTGAATGAGATCTCTCTTGTCGTTATGTTTTCTAATTAATTATTGCTAATGCTAAGAAAATTATTGGTTTTTTGTAGACTTCTACATCTGATCACTTCATTTTATTGTTAAAATATCCTCTTAAATTCTAATTGATTTTCTTATCTTTTGATTTTCTATATAGAAAGCCTTATATATTTCTCAAATTAGTTGTGGACATTTTAGTAAAACTTCAACTGTGAAAGTTTTTAAGCTCAACCACTCAATAGCCATTCCTCAAGAACTTACATTGTGCAGGGCACATTGGAAATACTATTGCACCCCAATAGGAAACATGTTACTCTTGGTGGAAATTATAGACCTAACACTTTTACATATGGTATGCCTGGCTGGATTGGGTGTTTTGGTGTAGGTCAGGTACTATATTCTTGTTTGAGTGCATTTTTCTTACTCCGCTCACATACATACAAATAATTCTCAAACTTAATAGGTGTTGTCAACTGTTTTGGGGGCCACCAGTGAAATTTACAACAAGAATACATAAGTTACAAAGAAAAAGCATCCCTAAAATAAATTAATATGACATGAGGAACTCATTTGTGTCTTGGCTGTTACACAGTTCATATTTATTCTTAGCCAGCCTGGTTCCTCCACAGAAAAGCACCCTCTAGGTCAGGTTGTGCTTCCCTGACCTACTGAAAAGCTGCCACAGACTTCCTCTGATGGACCCGTCCTTTAGCTGCAAGGCCACACTTCTTGTGGGAGGGAATTCCTGAGGCCAGAGACCTTGCTAACTTCCCTTTCCAAAACAGATTGCATAATATGAGGACATAATTTCTATGCTTCTAGGGAAGTAAGAGAATTTAGAAAAATGAAGATAAATAACTTTTGGGGGATCTTATCTATCTTCCTTTACAAGTGAAGGCTCATTTACTTCAGCTTAATTTAAGAGTATATCTATTTTGGCTACAAATATAGATACAATGAAAAACTACTGGATCATAATAGGTCTTGTTCTGTCTGTACTGACCTGTTCATCATGGATTGGTTTTCTCTCCACACCATCCCTGTCTGGCTGCTTCTGGCTTCCTAGGACCCTATTAGAGGAAAAGTCTGAGTTTGCCTCTGACTATAGTAAGTGAAGAAGGAAATCATGGGACAGAAAGTGGCAAATGCCTAACCAACATTCGCCACCTGTGAATATAATTGGCTTTTTTCTTACTGAGCTTGTTTATATAATTTTACAAACTTCATTCATTTGTAGATGCAGACAAATGAAAGAAAAAATGTTTTTAAATTACATCAAGAAGCCTAAATAGCTTAGTGCTCTTAAGTATAAAAAACTTAATGACACATTGAATACATAAATATATATCTAAATAAAGATGAAGGCAGTTTACTATGTTGCATACATTTGGAACTTACTAGGACAGTTGTGATTTCCTCCTGTTCACCAATAGCAATAGGAATAGTAGCATTATTAATCAGCATAACTCAAAATCCAACTTGGCATAAGGTGGCATATAAGATTATCAGCATACTGCGAGCCAGATATCTACACATCAAAAAGAATATGAGCCAGCTATCTTCACATGAAGATCGAGCCCTTCAATTTTTACAATGCAAATATGCCAGCTGTCTGTGTGCTGAGGAAATAATGTGAGTGCTATTGATTTTTATCAAAGGCAGTTTTCTGTTCTGTGCAATTGAATGAGTGTCACAACCCAGAAGAGGCTTTGAGAAATATCTGAGAGCTAATCAAGAAAATAATGATGAGTACTGTTCAGCAGTGGAGTCACACATTTGCACTTCAGGATGGGATTATCTCAAAGACTGGTAATGACACAGTTTGAAAAAACATGTTCAGCTGTGGTTTTAGACATTAGAGCATAAAAACTGAAGCCCCTTTTTTCCATAGTGATAGTTTACTTTTAACAGACAAGAAGTCATTCTTTTAAACCACCCACCACTACGAATGAACGTGTCTACTACAAATACTGAATAAACAAATGAGGAAGGGGGATTCTTTGAGAAAATTATCTAACAATCATCTTACCAAGCTATTTCCACAGACCAGTATTGAGACACATCTCAAAGTACCCTTCACAGACATTCACAGTGGAATTTGGGTTACGAAACAAACATTTAGCTAAATGTTATATTTTTATTAACTTTCCAGTTTTAAAAAAACTACACCAAACTTCCATTTGGAAAATGTGTTTCCATGAAATTTAATGGTACTTCTTTCTTTACTAATACCCCTATTCTTGTTTCCCATAAATACTTAACATGGCCTTTGTAAATAAACTTGTATGGAATATGAGTTTTTAGACTTTGTAACTTGCTTACCGTTAGCTCACTGAAGCTCACATCTCTAACTCTTCGATTCTGCAAAGACATTTCTGCCTAGGTCAGCAAATAGATTCAATGATTAATGAGAAATAATGTTTTAATATATTTTCACAAAACATTTATAGAAGACTGGAAGTCTTGTTATATTTCTTTGGGATAGTTATATGCTTAGTCATACCTGTTATTTTACTGTGTCTTTGAAGTAAACTAACATTCACAAATATTAAAAATGTTTTGAAGTTGATATAGTAGATACATATAGGTATGACTAATAGTTAGTCATACCTGTTATTTTACTATGTCTTTGAAGTAAACTAACATTCACAAATATTAAAAATGTTTTGAAGTTGATATAGTTGATAACATTCACAAATATTAAAAATGTTTTGAAGTCCAGTATCATGAATGTACAAATTTACTACTTATCCAATGAAAACAATTATATGGAGTAACTAGAAAAATCAATGCTTTTTTAACTTATACTTCATTTGATCTCTAATGCATTTCACAAGACCTTAACAAAGAGCTTAAAAACTAGCTTTAAGTTCTTTGATTCCATCTGGGTATCATTTTTATTTTTAAAATAAGCAGAAATCTAAAATAATCTATAGCTAAAGATATGACATATGTGAGAAACTGAGGATCGTTCTATAGTTATACATGAGACATTGAAAATGAGATAGAAATATGTTTGAGTAGCTCCTTTTAATCACAGGAGTACAGCATGCAGATTAAATTTATGAAGTTTTCCTCTATGTACCTAATGCTTGAATTCTAGCACAACAACTAATTGTGTGTCCCAGAAAAAGCTACTTGCAAATATCTGTTTTGAAATTCTCCATATATGAAATAAGGGTAATTATATTACTGTTCTTGGAGGGTGAAATAAGAATTAAACAGTTAAAACACATTCAAGCACTTGATGACCATAATTGAAGAATTGGGAAGAAAACATGACATCAGAGGGTTTGGTGAATAGGCAATTGTACCTTGTAGCATAAAGAAATACTAAAGCAATGGATTCTATTTCTTGAAACTGAAACCTATATAGCTAGCAGTGCAATGTTGACAGTCCCCAGTCTTTAACTAACGTGGTCTGTAGTAATGTCTTAAATCACATTCTAACACAGATTTTGATGCCTATTCGTTTTTTACAAGATTACCTAGTAGGGGTTACCAGGGGATGGAGGCTGGATGACAAATGACTGTTATCAAAGACTATTTTTCAACTATTGTAATAGTTTCTTAAATAAGATATGATTATGGTTTGTATCTAAAATGTCCCCCAAAACTCTCATGTTCAGAGGTAGGACCTGATCAAAGGGAGAGTGTCATTGAGGGCATGACCTTCTCGGCTCCTCTCTTCTCTTTCAGCTTCCTGGATGCCATGGAGGAGCAGCCTTGCTCTGCCAGGCCCTTTCACCATGCGGTTTCTACCTTGGAGCTTGCTTACCATGGACTGAACCCACTGAAATAGTGAGCCAAAATAACCCTCTTCTCCTTTACATTATGGGTGTTAATGTATCTCAGTGATGGAAAAACAGACCAATACACATTTTGTTACCAGGAATTGGGTCACTCCTGTGAGTTTATGTGATTGTGTGTTTCAGAAGCTTCTGGAATTGTGTTATGGTAGCAGTTTGAAAAGTTAGGAGATGCAAAACGCTGTGAGCAAGCAACACTTGATAGGAGATACTCTTTTTTTTTGAGACAGGGTCTTGTTATGTACTTCAGGCTAGCTTTGAACATACTATGTAGCCCAGGTTGGCCTTGAACTTGCAGGTGCTGGGATTATAGGCATGTGTCACCATGTCTGGGTAGGAGATCCTCTTTACAGCTCAGAAGACCGGAATGCTGATAACAAGGCAGACAGTAAGGGCCTCATGTCCTTTCACTATGCTATTTCTGCCTTATGCCCTCTGAATCTTGCCAAATTAAGCCTGTCCTCCTTTAAGTTTCAGGTGTCAGTGTTGTATTTCAGCAATGGAAAAGCTGACTAACACATATAAAATATATGGGCTTTATTTT